TAATTTATTGTGATCGTCGATACTTAGAGCTTTGGAATTATTACTCTGTAAAGTTTCGGCTATATTTTTTATGTATGCTTCTGGATGATTTGGTGAATTCCAAACTATGCGTTTGCAACTGTTTATCATCTTTGCTCTTTCTTTTTGTAGATTTATCGTTACTCTAGCTCTTACTGGTCTGTGGTCGCTTCCTACTGATACGTTTATATATTACAGATACTACAGATACATATATTACAGATACGTTTAATTGATATTTATACACAGGTGCAAAAAAATCGATCCCTACCTACTGCCGACAAAAAAAAAATGGGATTACTTATATCGGGTAAAAATAATACAAAGAACATCAAATATCAAATATCAACAGTTTATATAAAATTATTTAAAAAAAGGTTATAGCATTTATAGACCTCACAGCAGCGTATGCTACAGTATAGAGGAAAAGAATTATAAACAAGTTCTTACAAATAATTTCTTGCGAAACAAATGTCCGATTGATCAACCAGATGCTGCGTAACATTAAATTCCAAATTGTTATAAGTCTAAAAGCAAGAAATAAGTTCAACCCGAAAAGGATTTTAAATTATATACATACTTTTTACAAAGAATTTTAAGTAAACTTATTATTCAAATGCTTTGCGATACAACTTATGGATGGCCCATACAGCTGAAAGCTGTTACTTTGCGATGGCCCTCTTGTATTCCGTAGCTGAATATTAACTACTTAATGAATTAGCTGAATAACCCCACTTCAAAGCCTTTCCATCCTATCGTGAATGAATAGTCTCACCTGATCTAGAAAGAGTGCGCATGCAATAATGGCCAATATAGAGTAGGACCCTGATCTATACACCAAGACATTTCCGACTTAGACAAACATAGGCTAAAATCTAGTAGCCTGTTCTATCTCCTACGCGGTTGGCCGATACCACTTCTACTACTTGGTGATTTGTCCCTTGGTATTTTAACGTATGGGATTGTTGGTATTTTAACGATTCTTGTATCCTTCATTCTACTGATGTGATTGTTCCATTCTTTTTAAAAGTTATACTTCTATACATGCGTTCGACGTTGGAAATTTGTACGGAAGTGAATCGGCAAAATCATTACATATATAAGATATAGATAAGAGAGAGACAGAAGATATATGTTTTCTCTCTTTCTTTCTCATGAATAAAAATGTTCCTTTTGTAAATATATTTAATATTTATTAATATTATTATCATGGTAAATTAAACATATGCGTAAGTATTAAGCGTCAAAGTCATAAAAGCACTATAATCTTGACTTGCAGTATAATCCTATTTCTATCCAGTAGATGTTCTTGCGAAGCAATCAAGCAAGTTATCTATGGCAACTTTTGGTTTACCTGCTTAGTGGTAAATACCCTAAACTATGTATTTTCAAAATATATTGCCTACCATAATGCTAGGAACAACCCGAAAGTGGAAAACACAAATTACAAATTAAAGATTAGAACCTGGAATGCAAAATCTCTCTTTTTGCCAGGAAAATATTATAAGATCGTGAGAAAAATGAAAAGAATGGTAGTCAACATTCTCGGAGTCAGTGAAGCTAGCTGGCGTGGATCTGGACAGACAAACAAACATCGATAACCATGTAATATACTATGCTGGTAATGACGATCCTCATCATTATAACGGAGTGGCATTTATAGTTGACCCGAAAAGCAGTAAATGTATAACGAACTTTATACCTATATCTGATAGAATAGCTATCCTGCAAATTAATACCACTCCTCGTAATATTACCTTTATTCAAGTATATGCTCCTACAGCAGAAAAGCCAGAAAGAGAAGTACGAGTATTCTACCAAGAGATCAAACAGCTAATGAAGATCACAAAGAAAAATGCTGTAAACATTATTATTGGAGATTTTAATGCCAAAGTAGGTGAAGGGCGGACCACAGACGAAGTAGGAAACTTTGGTTTGGGCCAAAAAAAATTATAGAGGAGAAATACTGGTCTAATTTTACAAACACCTGGTTTAAACATCCAAAAAGAAGATTATATTCATGAAAAGCACCTGGCAATAATTAAAACCGCTTAATAAGAAACCAGATTGATTATATATTAATTGAAAAACGTTATAGAAATGGAATCAGGGAGGTTAAAACATATCCCGGGGCACACATCGGTTCTGACCACAATCCTATTGTTGGTAAAATTTCATGTAATCTAAAGAAAATCAAATACAGAGAGAAGATCAAACCTAGCATCGAAAAACTTAAAGATCCAACAGTACAAGCAGAAATAGAGGAAACACTCAATGATACACTCAAAGAAAAGTTCAGTAAAGCACCCGCGGAAGCAGAAGAAACAATAGAAAGTATTTGGCACACCTTCAAAACAACAATCACAACTATACAAAGAGAACAACTACAAGACAACATCAGAAAAACAAAGAATACATGGATGACAGAAGAAGTCCTAGATGGACTGATGACATAGACTGATGGACATAATGAGATCTTACAAAAATCGCAATGAAGAAAAATATAAAGAAACCCAGAGAATCATCCAAAACAAAATCAGGAAAGCCAAAGAAGAATGGATGCGCAGCAACTGTAAGAAGCTGGGAGATTTACTAAAAAAGCAAGACTACTTTAAGGCATACAAAAAGATTAAGGAAGTTACAAATATCAAGAAAAAAATCACATCAACAACTTTAGTAAACGATAACAACCAAATAGTATCTTGTCTAAAAAATGTAGGAGATATGTGGGAAAATACATCAAAGATCTATTTGATGATGAGAGAACAGAACCACAAATGAATATAGTACAAGAAACAATATTTGATATATTAACATCGGAAGTTACAAAAACAATCAATACGGAAAAACCACGAAAAGCCTTAGGTCCAGATAAAATATACGTAGAGATGATAAAGCTTATCAATGAAGAAAATCTTCAGACGTTAACGCTATTATTTAACAAAATATATACCAATAGAATCTTCTCAGAAGACTGGCTTGGATCGACATTTATACTTATACCCAAGCAAAATAAATAGATGCTCACAGTTCAGATTAATAAGCCTGATGAGCCATTTTCTGAAAATTTTACTTAAAATTGTACATCAACGAATATACAGAAAATGCGAAAGAAACCTGAGCGACAGTCAATTTGGATTTCGTAGGGGGTTTGGTACAAGGAAGGCATTCTTTGGCCTCCAGATATTACTACAAAAATGCCGAGATCAGCGGAAAAACGTGTTTCTCTGTTTTATTGACTACGAAAAAGAGTTTGATCGAGAAAAACACACAGAACTCATAGAACCCTAAAACAACATGGTTTAGATCAAAACACTGTAGCACTTATTAAAAAACTATATTCTGATCAAATGGCGTAGATCAAAATAGACAATCGTCTGACAGCAGAATTGCCAATAAAAAGAGAAGTTCGTCAGGGCTGTGTACTTTCTCCACTGTTATTTAATATATATTTAGACAAGAGCTTTAAAAATGTCCTCGAAAATATTGAAGAAGGAATAAAAATCAACGGAGAATACGTAAACAACTTAAAATACGCAGACGACACTGTCATTATTGCGGACAGTGCTGAGGGTTTACAACGACTTTTGCATGTCTAAACCAGAGAGGGAGATAGCTTGGGACTAAATATAAACACAAATAAAACAAAAGCAATGGCTGTTACATGTGCACCAAATATCGACATTAATATTCGTATTTATAACAAACATATAGAACCAGTAGAAAGATTCCAGTATCTTGGATGCTGGATAACAAACCATCTTGACCACGAGGTCGAAATACGTGCTCGTATAGAATATGCTAAGTCCGCATTTCAACGAATGAAAAAACTCTACTTTATCGTTGGATATCCGATATCAATTTGTAAAAACGTTTATTTATTCCATATCGCTATACGGAGTGGAAACATGGACTCTCGGAATTACAAGTATGAGGCGTATAGAAGCCTTTGAGATGTGGTTTTTCGAAGGATGTTGAAGATCTCTTGGACGGAGCACGTGACCAATAACGAGGTGTTAAGAAGAATGGGTACTGAGAGAAAACTCCTAAATACTCTAAAAAACAGAAAAAACGAGTTATCTGGGACATATTTACAGAGGAGAAAAATACTTCTTACGAATTATAATGGAAGGGAAAGTGGAAGGAAGAAGAAAATGCTTCTGGTTAAAGAATGTAAAAGACTGGACAGGCATACACACATATTAGATACTAAGAACAGCTCATAGAGAGCAATTTGCTGTAGTTATAGCCAACCTACAGGAATGGAGAAGGCACCTTAAGAATATTGCATACCTTATACTTTAATTTTTGAAATACAAATGTCGTTTTAGAAATTACATACTTCCTTTTTTCCGTTTTATATAGGTTCGTTAATTTCTTCTTGCATTAGTCTAATACACAAACAATAAAACTTCTTTATATTCTAAATTTATATAGTGTTGAGTTTGATAAGTTATGCGCCTATTACATTATACAAGCCGCATTGGTATGTACTTAGTAAAAAAGGCTTAAACATTACCAACTTTATTTACATTATAAAGTTAAACCTGTTTGAAAACCTTGTTTTATTTCTACCTTTTACCCACTTCCTATCGGCGATTATTAAGCCATTAATTATTCATTGTATTATTATAATATAAAGAAAGAATAAAGCAATTCTCAAGGTCTATTGTGAACAGCATTGCAGTGTCAGATCTTTGTTGCAGACCATGTTAAGAAGCTCCACAGTTCCTTACATAATCTCTTTCGATATTAGTTATTCTCCGCAGTAATCAACGGTCGTCCACTTTGATCATTTGTACAAGGGTCCTATAATGACCTAATCAATTTAGAAACGACACTAATTAAAGCAACCTTGAATGCACGTATTAAAAAGGTCATTTGCAATACATAGCCGACCAAAGAAGCCACTAATTAACAAGCACTGGAAAACAAAACCAACCTCAATAAAATACCCGGTTGCTGATTAAAAATCAACTCACCTTTAGCAGTAGTGGCTGCAATAATAGCGGCTACAATTATGAAACACTTATACATCATTATTGTTGAAACAAAATAAACAAAAGCACTTAAACGACCGCCTGTTTAGAAAGTGAAATGAATGTAAGTAAAACTAAGTAACAATTTTAATTGTCATATCTCTATCTCCTCTTAGACAACGCGGTGTGCGGTGGACACTCTATTACACGGCACGGAACGAAACCAACTGAGAGACTTCAATGATTGCATAGGCGAGATGCGGTTTTCCCTCTCTGTCTTGATTTAATCAGGACCGGCGCACTCCAAGGATTTGGCTGTGATGTAATTTGGTTAATGCATTTTACTAATGATATAGAATAAAAATAAAAAATTATACGCGGACATACACTTTTTTAAACCAGACTTCGGTAAGATACCCGAGATTTAGTCATGGAATGCATTAGATATATAATAGAGTGAGAGAACATTTAAATTGCGGCAAAACATAGAGTACAAAATGGAAAATTGCCATCAACTCCGAGAAAACACAAGCAATCCTCTTCAAAAAGTGAAGGCATAAACCAGAGGAACAACTGACGGTGCAAAACAATCTCATCCAATGGAAAAGAGAGTTAAATACCTACCATACCAATCACAGGAGTCATAGTGGATCAAGGATTTACGTTTAAAAAACACGTAGATGGCACAGTACAAAAATCAAACATGACAAAAGCGTCAATATGAGGAATCACAGGCAGAAAAAACAAATTAAGAATAAAAATTAAAATAAGACTGATTAATAGCATCATAGTGCGTGTTTTAACATACGCATCTCTCCCATGGAATGCGTATGTCTAAAACAAAAACAAGAAGAGAATACAAAATCACCAACATGTATAACCAGTGCTAAAATGAAGATTAAAAAATTATTTATTTTAATAATCAATCTAGCATATTTTCTGCTAAAGCATGTGCTATATACAAAGCTCTTGAATTGTGATGTGAAAACCAGTGGAACAAAATTGTCATTTGCAGTGATTCACTGTGAGTATTACACTCCTTACACATTTTTAAATTCACAATCAATAGCAATATATTCATATTAGAAAATTTTAAACAGTTACTAAAACTATCAGATCCATATGGAGTTAAATTTGTATGGGTTAAGGGACACACATATTTAGTAATACTATTGCTGGTTCTATAGCTAAAAGTCCAATACAGCACCCCCATATGGTGATAGAAGAATTCAACACGTGTGACCTCCTTGTCTTTATCAAACAACATATTAAATTTAAATGGGACAGACAAAGTATTTAGTTTGGTGAAAGCATAAGCACTAATTTATACAAATTACAACCAACTGTAGCTGAAACACCATTTTATAAAGATATTACACTAATCAGAAACACAGTGACAACTGTCTTAAGATGTCAATTAAGTAGATCATGGATGTTTTCCGAAACATCTACACAAAATAGGAGTTCTCCCAACAGACCGATGGGTATACTATATCGTAATACAAGCACGTGGCTGCTAAAAGAATTGATAAAAGAGGGTTTAAGTTTAAGTACACTATTAAACCATTAAACGTAAGTCTTTTATTAAGTGAAGAAAATATAAAAATTTTAAAAATCGTTATGATATTTTTTGTAAAAATTAAATTAAAGGTATGAGTTGTAAAATTGATCGTATGCATGAACATTTTTTTATGTTTACCATATATGTTTCCCACTGAACTAATCGCAGTTTATGTGTTGTTTGTTGCAATAAAGCCGCTCAGATGAATCCCTGAGCGTAAAAAGTGTCCTCTTTGTATAATCCTGCATGAATGAATACTAATATTTATATGTAATTACGCGGCTAAATGTTTCAAGCCAAAGCCAATAAGCAAAACCAAGGAAGATGCAAGGGGCCCACAACAGAGACTAAGAGAAGCAGTCAACGTATTCAAATACGTTGCCGAACGTTTCCTGTTCAGAGAACTCCAGTAAGTCAGAGTGATTGACACAATGGTGGAAAAAGTCCGATATTGCGAAAAATAATTAAATATAATACGTTCTACCGATGGAAACACAAACGTCCCAAACAACTGACAACCGCATAAATGCAAATACGTAAAATCAGCTTATAGTTCTTAGCTCTGTTAACGTATACATTTACAACACTGTGTAGGCCCTTAACACAACTTTTAAAATGGTAATGGTTCTTAACAAAACTTTTTTGTTTAATTTGACAATTATAACAAAACTGGCGAAAGCCAAAAAAAATTAACAAAACCCAAAGACCTGGGCACGAAGGTCCCTTGCTTGAAAAACATTTAAACATTGATGCCAAAAAAAGAAACGAAATAAAAAGACGCCAATATTAACATTTACAAAAGTTTATGGATCGAAATAACCAGTCAAATAACTAACAATTTAATATTAATAAAGACTTTTTTAAACTTCAATGGTATGTAATGATGATATTGGAGAATTAAATGCACCGTCGAAACGGAAACCCCAAAACCGGGAAAAACTGTCATAGTTTATTATTAAATATGTAAAAGCAACATTATTCATAACACCAAAAATTACGATTTCACAATTTTCCCACTCATACATTTTAATGTTTTATATAAATCGGGTATCATATTTATATATCTGTTAAAGTATTTGACTACATTGATTCTCGAACGGCAGACAGACAGCTCAAAACTTAAGGATGAAAATTTTAATTTTTTTATTTCGATCCAACAATCTCCTGTTAGTTGTAATATAAGTACATATATTTTTTAAAAATGTTTGATTGTAATGTCCTAGTTAACTGGTCATTCGATTCGATTCGAAGAACACCAAAATAAAGAACACTTTTACACATCTTTCCTGTATTTTACAAAACACTTTCTAATTAATTTTTGAAAGCATGATATCTACAAACAACTTTTGCTTGTAATATACTTGACATATTTTTTCCATATGTATGCTTTTAAGAAATTTTCAAAATTGTACTACCATATAGGCTATACTCTACATAAAGTGAGGGCTTTTATTTACTAAATCTTCTTTTTATTCTTCCTCAGCTTTTACTTTTTCAGGGGTCGCCGCTCATTTCTGTTCATCGGGTCTTCTTTACCTAAACCTTTCTCTCTCAAGTCCCCTGTCACTCAGTTCTTCCAATTTCTCCTCGGTTTACTTCTACCTATTCTTCCATCAACTTCGAACAGCTTTATCCTTCGCCCCACATAGTTTCAAAATACGTTGAATTTCAACTTTCGCACTTGAAACGAATTCACGTCACGGGATATGCCTCCATGAAGACGTTATTGGATGGAATGTGTAGACGAAATTAAGTAGTTTTGAAAAACGTACTTGTTCAATCAAAAATAAGCTATTTTAAACGTTTTAGATTGCTTGTACTGTGAAAGTCTAAACTCAACGTTTTTTAGGCATAATTTAAATGCCTCACATTTGTTGCCAAAACTGAAAATTGAAATTTCGTGCTATAGGTACTATAGGTTTTGAATATTAGGCTGTGACAATGGATGACCGGTCAATGAAAGTGATAAATTTTATTGATCTCATGAGAAACATAAAAAATGGCAAACAATGGGTTATTATTTAACACCTCTATAAAAACAGATTTCATTGCGGCAAAATACAAAAATTGCATACAAAAACTTCACCACTTAAAATGTAGTTTTAAGTTTTAAGTAATAATGTTTAAGAGTTTTGTCGATTGGACACTCTGATCAAAAAATTTTTACCGTCGAGTTGATATAAATTTTATTTAAAATTGATTACGCACGCATAACTGACATTCAAAATCATCGGTCGCTTCAAGCGTTTTTTCTGAGAGAACGGTTCATTCTACATAAAAGTGCCAAGAGATATTTTGTTCAAAATGATCTCAGCTACATTTTTTAATTAAATAATTTTTTTCTATAGCGTAGAGATTCTTGGTAAATCGCTTTTTTCCCTTTCCCCTCTACGGAGGCGTGTTAGGAGGAATCCGGGGGGTAAAAGTGGTATATTTTATTGCAAATTTTTGTCCCAACATTGACATTATCATGACATTATTATGATTTTTAAAGGTTCAGTGGCATTTTCATTTCTGTCGACCAGAGTAATACTTGAAAATAGTATTTCCCCTTTTGGTTTATTCCCAACCTCGATTGATGATCAATGACACTATAATTATATAGCTTCATTTAATTAAATCTTTCTAACGCTTCTATAAATGGCAAATATATTAATAAAGAAAATATCACAACATACAATTTAATTAACTGATAGTAAATTTTTAACATTGTACTATCTACTACTAAGAGGTTTTAGCTTCCTTGTTTCTTATTTTGGAATTACTTTTTGTATACAAATAAATTAGCTGCTTGTGAATTTTGGTGTTGCAAACTTATACGAATATCATGTATTCCAAGAATATCACACGTGGAAATAAGCAGAAATATAGAAAATGAAGCAGAAATAAAATTGACTAAGTACTTAAGGGAGAGGAAGTACTAAGTACTTATGAAAAAGTAAAAATACTCAATATTACATTTTACCCTACACTAATGTAAGGTAAAATATAGCTAAATAATTCGATGTAAGTTATCTTTTAATGATATTCTTTTAATAGGAAAAGAGACAGACAGCAAATCACTCAAAAGTGCCCTTTTGACGAACATCAAAATGAGTTTTAAAGATAAAGAGGACAATTTTTGCAATTTTTACAATTCTCATGGGATCAATAAAATGTATTACTTCATGGAATCAATAAAATTTATTATTTTCATTTGATCTGTCGTAGTAGAATTTTCATTCTTAGAGTCTAGTCTTTAAAATATATAACATGAAACTTTAGTTTTGAGTTTTGGCAACAAATATAAGGCATTTAAAATAGGCAAAACTCTGAATTTAAACTTTCACGTTACAATCGATCTCACATCAGGAAAAACGCGTCCACAAAGACGGCATTAAGTAGAATTTGTAGCTGAAGTTACGTAATTTTGAACAACTTACTTTTGCAATCGAAAAGGAGTGTTAAATGTTTTAGTTTGTTCTGAAGCTATTTTCTAGTGGAATTTTAAATTAATTACTATTTAACGGAAAAAGCAACAATTAAAGGTTAAAGTCCGTTTATTGACGTTTCAATTTCCACTTCGGAAATCATTCTTAAAATACAAACATTAGTGTCTGTATTTTGTTTGTAAGTTACATTTATTATTTACTAAAGTTTGTATTTTGGGAA